TCACCCAACATGCCGCCTCCCATTCCGAACCCGATGTCTAGCTCATTCTTTGCACGGAGGAGTGTGTCCCTAGCAAGCACCAGTCGCTGATATCCCCTTGGAGGGAAATTTTCATCTCCTTCTGCCTTGACCGGAGGTTCATCTACGCGTAAGAGCTTGCCTAGTTCAGCTATTGCCACACCTCGCACTGGATGACCCATAGGTAGCAGTTCGACGAGTGCGGCCACGATCTGTGCACTGACGCGAATGGTCTCGTCAACTAGTTTGACATCAGACTCCATCTCCGAGATCAAGATGGATTGACGGAGTCTCATGAGGGATAAAAGGGGGTGTGATGCAGGAGGGAGATAAGGTGACAAAAAAGAGACCAAATTTGTTGCAAGTCGAAGGGCCTGTTCAGGGTCTATAAGGAACATGTTAGAGGCGAATATCAGCTCTGCTTGAAGCGCACCTGTCCATTGCAGACCTTCAGCCTTCTCGAGACCCTCGTTTGCCGCTCGAAGCTTGTCGTCGAGATCATTGGAGTACTTGACCTGTGATTTGCATTTGGGACATTCACTTGGCTTCCCTGGTAAAGTCGTTGGTGTCGGTATAAAGGTATTTAGATAATATACTCACCTTGTAGCGGAAGTGTGACAATCCCCTCTTTGCATTGAGGGCAAAATCTGGATGACCTGGGATCGACTGTATCTTTGCTTAGACACTGTTCACATTGGCACGTGAAATTATATGTCTTGTGGAGACTTTCTTGTCGCAGGGCTTTCGGAAGTGTAATGTCAACGTATGCTGCAACTACCTCCTCTCCAGACTTGATGGGCCGAATAGAAATGACTTGAAGCAGTGGCCGTTCTCCTGATTTAGATCGTGGAAATACCACAACGGCATTGGGTCGGCATGAGTGATTGATTAAAGCCGGAGTAGGCGAAATTGCGACACCGATTGGGTTGAGAGTTGCTGTGGTCAGAGTGAACGAGTTGGTCGTAAACTAGGTCCAATATAAGCAAATAGATAAAGGAAACGGTGACTCGACTACCTTTGACATAAGGTCGACCAAGTCTTTGATACTTCCGATGCCAATGTCCTCCATTGCCTCAGGAGATTCGACTCCCAAGTATCGGACAAGGGATTGGGCAAAGTAGGCAAATGATTCCTGCGTCGACATCGATAGTCCATCCCTGTCTTTCTCGAATGAGGCGAGGTATGAATAATTTGTAGGGACAAACTTGATTGCATTCCTTGTACCTCTAGCCACTAATCTAAGAGTCAGAAGGGACCTTGATTCAGTAAATTAGATACCCACCCATGTTGATTGAGCACCGAATATCTTCTTGGACCAAATGAGCCGACCTATTGCTCTGATACTATCGGCGGGAGTGGCATTATTAGGAGATGCATCAGCCCATCGAGTCAAGGCACCACATTCCTCCTTGTGAAGCTTCCAGTCGTTCTTTTGACAGACCTATTCCCAGAACCCGTCCATACCAAAGCCTCGTACATGGGCTGGCCACTTACTGGTCCACAATACGCCACTTTACGGCATTTGGTACATCTCCTGACTTCACCCTCAGATGCGCAGCCAGAGCAATGGGAGTCGAGGAGTTTTGAAGAGATCGCATGGACATGGGGATTGACTTTCAATAGTTGGGTGC